CCCTTCACCCTTCCACCCTCTACCCCCCAACACACACCCTCCATCCTCTTCACTCTTTATCCTTTTCCTGTACTTTCCATTCTCATGCTCCTTACATCCCTGTGTTCTCTTCTCCAAAATCAGTTTTTTAAATCTGTATTCTATAAGTCTCTCCTTTTGTTATTTTGATACAATTATTCAAAAACCCTTCCCTCCTTTCCTCCCTCCCCTCTTCTTCCCTTCCCCCCTCCCTCCCTCCCTCCCTTCCTTCCTTTTTCTTTCTTTTTTCTTTTTTTTAAGTAATCTCTACCCCCAACGTGGGGCTCGAACTCACAACCCTGAGATCAAGAGTCACAAGCTCCCCTGCCTGAGCCAGCCGGGTGCCAGTCTCTTTCATTTTTCTTGATCATTTCATCCTCGGTCTTCCCACCTGAGCAATAGGTCTAGAAAATATCCCATCTTCCTGCCTCCTGTAGTGCTCAGCTCTGCCCCCATTTGGACTGTGCCCCCCCTCTCTTCACAGACTTGTGGCTTTCTACCCTGGGGAATTAGTTCATCCTTGCTTTCCCGGAGCTTCTCCACTTGTTTCTGGGAAGCTTCCTCGGACTTTTTAGGACATTTCCCACATCCCACTGACTCTCCGTGGGTTAACTAACCTCTTCCATCTGCGGGGCCTCAGCTCCCACTGCAGTTCCCCTGGTCCATTCATTGGTGGCATCGTTCTCCGCCCCCCTTCCCCTTCTTACCCCCATCCCTCCTCCTCCCAGAACCACACCCTTCCTCACCCTCACCTGAGGAGGGAAGCTCCGACTTACAGGATTTGCATGTTGGGCTGTGGAAGCAAAGACCAGAGAGAAAAGCATCAAGAAATCCAATTAGTCCCAGGCTTCATGAGAAAGTTGTGGGGGGACCCTGGGGCCCTTCTGTTGGGGAAATACCCCTGCACCCCAGGCTGCTCCCGCCCCTCTCCTCTCTCTCCCCACTGCTGCCAGACCTCTCAGACCTGGAGTCCGCCTTCCTGCACTTCACCTTCTTGCCTGTTAGGAGAGAGATAGACACAACGAGACAGGACATAAGGGTCTGGACAGAAGCCAGCAGGGAAACTGTAGGTGCCCAGGGACCCCGAGGCAGCCCTCTTTGAGGTGCTTTGGAGCCTAGAAAAGGGTCACACTTACTGATGATGATGAGGATGCCCAGCAGGAACAATATAGTGGCCAGAGTCATGCCCACCGTCTGCACAGTGTCATAGTCTGGGGGAGATAATGGGGGACATCAACGTGGGTAACACCTCAGCCCTCCCTGGCTTCGAGGTTGCCCAGCCAGGGGCCCGGAGCCCAGGGATGCTGCAGGCCGTGCTGGGCGCTCCGCCAGTTGGCTTGCATGAGGATGGACAGCAGGAGCTTGGGAGCTCCCTTGACCCCTTTACCCTCCACCCATCTCTAGATGCTCCGTGTATACATAAAACCATCCTCTACATCATAGATACATATATCTCACCTCCTTTTACTGCCTCCCCCTGGTCCTGTCTACCATTGTCACCTGTCTGAACTATCGTAGCAAGCAACCTGCTCTGTGGTGTCCCCGCACCCCAGTCACAGGGATCCTGCTAACACCTAAGTCAGATCAGAGTCCCCAAGCTTGGAGGACCCCACCTCACCCTGGCTTCCATTGCATTCCAAGGAAAAGCTGAAGACCTCACCACAGCCCACCCAGCCCTGCATCACCTGGTCCCTGTTCCTTCTCAGACCTCACCCCACTCCACTTTCTGCCTCAGTCCCCTACTCCAGGCATACCGGTCTCTCTGCCATTCCTGGAGCAGATCAGGTATGGCCCTACCTCAGGGCCTTTGCATTTGCTGTGCCCTCTGCCTGAAAGCTCCCCCCCCCCAATATTCCTTCCTTACCAATTTCTGGGCTTTATTCAGATGTCAGTGAAACCTTCTCTGAAACCTTGTCTATTTAGAATTTCCCATCCTCTCCTCAACCCTTTACAATCTCATTCCTGCCTGTATTTTCCTTCATAAGAAGCATTCTTGTCTAATATGCCACGGTAAATACCCTTGAACAACACGCAGGTCCCCTTAGATGCAGATTTTTTTTCAATAAATATAGTACAGCACTGTAAATGTCTTTTCTCTTCCTTATGATTTTTTTTTTTAGCAAGCTCTACACCCAGCTTGGGGCTTGAACTCACGACCCCAAGATCAAGAGTCGCATGCTCTACTGACTGAGCCAGCCAGGCGCCCCTTTTCCTTATGATTTTCTTAATAACATCTTTTTCTCTAGTTTCCTTCATTGCCAGAATACAGTACATAATACACATAATATACAAAATACATGTTAATCGACTGTGTATGTCATTGGTAAAGCTTCTAGGCAATAGTAGGCTATTAGTAGTTAAGTTTTGGGGGAGTCAAAAGTTATATGTGGATTTTCAACTGCATGGGGGGGTCGGCACAACCCTAGTTCCCAAGTTGTTCAAGGGCCGATTGTATTTATCGAAATATGAATTTACAGAGCACCCACTCGGTACCAGCAGTGTCCAGGCCTCTGCCTCAGGGAATTGACTTTCATATTGTGATAAAGCACGGAACAAAATAAAATGAAACATCTGGCCATGTGACTATGACTAGTTGTATCTGTGGCTCCTGTTGGCAGAGAATCAGGAAGGGCCTCTCCTAACAGAGCAGTCAGTATTTGCTCTGAGCCCTGAAGAAGGAAAAGGAGCCTTAGTCAGCTGTGTGGAGAGCTAGACAAGGAGTATTCCTAGCAGAGGGAACAGCACGTGCAAAGGCCCTGGGGTGGGAAAGAATTTGGTATATTGGAGGAACAGTATGAGTGAGCAAAGGGAGAGGGCAGAGGAGTGTGTAGAGAGGGAACCCAGGCCAGGTCTGCTAGACCTGAGGCTAATTTCTTTAAGCTTCAGTGCTGTGGGGATGATTTAATGGCATGACCCAAGTAAATCTTTCCCATAAGCCTCATAGGTAGAAACTAATACTATCCTTTATTTACAGAAGAGGAAAAGTTGCTTGCTCAAGGCCACACAGCTAGTGAGGGGATAAACCAGGATTCAGATCCAGGCAGCATGGCCTCAGAGTGGTATGCTTTTCTGATGACCACAATGCTAGGCCAGAGTCCTGGTGAAGCCTGAAGGAGGTCCAAAGAGGGTAACCCCCCCCCCAATCCGATTCTGCCCTCTATGAGTCCATCCGATGTAAACTGAATCCGCACGGTCACACGGCCAGTGGCCCAGCAAGTATCATGTTGCCAGGGCTGAAGCCATTTCAGCAATAACCTGTGGGGACCTGCAACCACCCCTTTATCCAGCCCCAGGGTACCCTCATCAGAATCTGCCACTCACCATAGTAAAATGGGTCAGGTTCCTGAGGAACTGTGGCAAGGAAGGCAGGAAAAGAGAGAGAGGGAAAAAAAATATTTCAACACTGGGTTTCTTAACATTTTTGAGACTCCAGATGGGGCCACTGGCCCAATGCTTTCTGGGTAGAAATCAGATAAAGATGCCCCTTGATCTGAATGATATAGCCTCATGCATGGCAGGACACAAGGCTTGAAGAGTGGAGCATAGGCTGGATTCCAGCCCCCACTCACACCATTCGTTAGTCAGTACCTTCCCTTGTTCAGTGCACAACCTACCAAACTGTACACGGCAGTCCTGGAACTAGTCCCCTGTGGAAGTTTGAGGCAAGCTATGGACTCATTTCCTGAAAAACACATACACCTTCCCATTTGCATCTGGTGCTGGGGTTAACAGACTCCAGTCCCACTGGTAAGCTGCTGAGTGTATCAGCTTCCCCCGAATACTCCCTAAAACTTCTCAGTCATCTGATAGCTCCCAAAAAGTCAGGCACTGTGGCTACTATTCTCATCCACTCGCTCTTGCCACCAAATCCAATGCAGAGGAGCTGTCCTATAATATACCTTATATTATATTACATGTAATATGTACTTTATGACTTATTTGTAAGACATCATCAATTTTAAGATTCAAAATTGACTTCATAATAGCTTTCTCTGTGTGTGTGTATATGCTTGAATATGTATGGAACTCTACCATACGAAACATACCCATTCATTAGAAGACTCACCCCAATTTCAGAAATGTTAATGTGTGGATAAAATTTGTGTGTGTGTGTGTGTGTGTGTGTGTGTATTTACTTTTCCCCACCCCCCACCTCCCTGTCCCAAACCATAATTCCCCTTCAGGAGAGCTCAGACCATGCTTCCCATTCAAGAAACCCATCCTGATGGCTCCCTGATTCCTGACAGTTCTCAGTACATTCTGTCTTGTCTAGAGCCGAATTCTGCAAAGCGAGCACCACTAGCTGAGGGACACCAGGACTGCGAGGGCAATGCCTCTGTCTGTGAGGACTAATGCACTGTCATTAATGTTCTGGAGGCTCAGGGAAGGATGGCAGCTGCCTTGAGGTTGGGGGGGAGACCACGTGACTAATTCTGGCCAATGAACTGTGCGTGGAAGCCTCACGTGACTTGCAGGCTGGCGCATTTAAGGGTTCTTACAAGAGCTCCCTTCTGCCTGTTGACCTGGTGACACGAAGTTTTCTTTGGCGAGCAGAGACCCCCGGCTGACCTGCGATGGAGGTGTCGTGTAAGTGAGACTTCAACCTTGGTTGTCAGGAGCTGCTGAGATTTTTGATACTATTTGTTACCACAGCACACTCTAGCCTAAACTGACTGATACAGGTGGCAGCCAGGCAAGACCCGGAATAGCACCGTTTCTCGCAACGTGTAAGTTCGTCCTCCTCAGTTTCCTGTCCAGTCTTCACGGAGGAAGTCATAGGTAGGTGCGGAGGTGTCTTTAACACCTTCCACCTTGCTAAGCTCCCTCTTTTCCCGCGAGAACACCGTCCTTGGGCTCACAGCCTTCAGCAGTGATAGCTCTGTAGAATTTTGTGAAATTATTTGGTTTTCTCCAGCATTTCATAGCACTGACTCCATGCCAGGCTCTGTTCTAAGCACTTCACAGGCGTTAACACACCTCCATCTACACAGCCACTCCCTGATTCAGGGGCTGTCTGCATCCTCATTTCACAGAGAAGGACACTGAGGCCCAGAAACGTGGAGTCACTTGTTTAAGATCATGTTCATACTTGCCTTGAAGGCAAAAAAAAGAGAGAGAGAAGGAGAGAGAAATTTTCCTTTTGTGATGGTGATGTAAAATGAAGCTAATTAAGTTTTTCAAAAAGCTAATCCTTTAAAGGCAAAATGCTAAATATGAGTGTGGGGAACATCTGGATAGGGCAAAAATCGTACTCGAAAACGTCAAGATGGGGAAACGTTATTTTAGAGTCATACGTGCTGTCTTAGCTCCTCCACCAGATGGGGAGAAAATTTCTTTGACTCCTCTGCCATTAATCCTGACATTTATAAAAGTCTTTCGAAGAAGTTTTCTGGAATGAATGAAAGAAAGAAATGAATAAATGAGTGAGCGAGTGAGTGAGTGAGTGAATGAATGAAGGAAGGAAGGAAGGAAGGAGAGCCCCTGCTAGGCGGCAGGAAGCTGCATCAGAGGTGGAGTGGTTGGATTATCCTACTTTGTCTCCTGTGTTTCCACACACCCTGCCTTCCCAAACCATCAGGAGCCCACTGGGTGAGCACCTGCTCCAGAATCCTCTTTGGTTCCACCCTGGGTGCCCTGGGCATTATGCAGAAGTCCCTCTTCTGGTCCCTGCTGCCCCAGGAATCTGGTTCCTCAGGGCGAGGCTGGGCTAAGGGTGGAGCCAGGAGGCAAGGGAAGAAGTGTGCACCACTCCTGGCCGGTTGCCAGGGAGACATCAGGAAGGAGGTGGTTGCTATGGCAACTGGGGCATCTTAAGAGGTGAAGAGAGGTAATGGGTTTGGGCACCCTAGGCTGGGTGGGGTCCTGGGGGTTAGGTGTCTAATTCCAGGGCCTATCTTGGCTCCCTCGGTTCCCTTTGTACCTCCCATTGTTGCCCCTGCAGGGCTGGCTTCCGGCCAAGCCGAGGGTCCTTCTCAAGGATAGGGACCCGGGCCTGGTTGTGCTCCTGCATCCCCTTTCTGTTTGCCCCCATCGCTCCCTCCTGCTGTCTGACAGGGTGGGAGAGCCCTCATCTCCCTCCCCCGTGCTTCCCCCCCCCAATAATCCATTAATCAGTTTAAGGGGTGCAAACGTAACATGCTCTTCCTCCCCACCCCCTGGGGTTTCCCAAGACCTGCGGTCCCCTCTTCTGCTGTGACTGGGGAAAAGGTGGGGGGGTGGGGCTGAGGCGTCTGTCCTCCCACCTCTGCCCATCTGCTGCCATCGATCCTGTTAACCACCATCTCTGCGAAAAGAAGCCCTGGGCTCCTGCCAGGCCCGCTGGCTCAGCCCTGCCCCCTCTCCCTAGGGTGGCTTCCAGCCTCTGCAGCCCCCCCCCCCCGCCCTGCTTCAAATTCTGCAGATATGGCTCAGTGCAGCAGCCCCTGCTTGCCGGGAAAGGGGGCAGGGAAGGGAGATCGGATGGAACTGGGGTTCCCTTCACCACCAGGGGCTCCTCAGCACCACTGGTCTATCCCCTCTGGCCCAGCTCTCAGTGCTGGAAACCCCACCCCCACCCCCATCAGAGCATTCTTCCCCCGTTCCTCTGCAGAGGCAGGCTCAAGAAAGGGGGCTCTTAGGGGGCAGTGAGTGTTTAAGTGGGCTCATAACTGGGTTGAGGGGTGTGAAATGTAAATCGCCATGTGGCTGGATGGGGGTGAAGAAGGGACATCTGTGTGCACACCCGAGTGCATCTCCTGGACCAAATAACACCCCTGCATGTGGGCTGGGAAGGAGGGTCCTGCCCAAGGGGGGCTCACTGCAGTGGCTCGGCCCCACCCGCTATCTCTCTCCGGAGCTGTGGGTCCATCTCTCTCTCTCTCTCCTCCTCACTCCTCCTCCTCTGTGAATTTCTCTATGCCTCTCTGTCTCTTTGTCTCTGATTTTCTCTCTTTCTCTGCATCTCTTTCTGTTGCTCTCCGCCTTCCCCTTCACTCTCAATCTCTTGCAGCCTCATATCTGTCTTCTCCGCGGGTCTCCCTCTGTGTCTCTGGCTCTGGGTCTCCTGCCTCTCTTGCTCTCTCTCTTTCAGGCTCTCAGTCAATTTTTCACATTCCTTTCCATCTCCCTCTCTCTTCTGTCTCCTTCCATCTCTCTCTCACTTCCTCCAGCTCTCTCCCCACTGTCTTTCCGTCCTGCTCCCTCCTTCCCGGGGAACCTGCCTGTCAGGGATTTCAGGAGACACCCACCATAGGAGCCAGCGCTGGAAAAGCGAGGGATATGCCCCCCTTCCCTTTGCCCACCTCGGAAACCCTGAAATTTGCGAGAGCCCCTGTGGTCGCAGACCCACCCGTTCCCACCCTCGAAGCCCGTCTCTTCGCGTCCGCTACCGCCGCTGTGCAGGACCAGCCGCCCGGTTGCCATAGCTACCGGTCCGCGCATCCTTTCTCCCGGGACTGCCGCTCTCCAACCGCGGGTCCCGCACAGGAACGACACCACCGGGAGGGGGTGTCCAAGAGGCCTGGAGGGGCGCCAAGGGGTGCACTGCAGGGGCCTCCGCCCATGGAAGGAACAGACATCCCCTTCCCCATTCCCCTCCCTTTTCAATACTGGAATCTCCCTAGATCCTCTCCCCTAAGCTCTAAGATCCCGGAGCCTCCCTCCCCACCCGCGCGCCCTCTCCCCAGGCGACGCTCACCCTTTGTGGGGGCCTGGGTCGGGGTCGCCATGCCGGGCCGGAGCAGGGGGCGACTGGATGCCGAGGCGGTGAAGGCTCGGCTGCAGCAGCTGGAAGCGGGACGCACTGATGTCGGGGGGAGATGGGGGGAGCCCTCGTGTGGGGGGGGGCCGTAGCCAATGGGGGCCCGGAGAGCCCGCCCCCGTCCCGGCCCCCCCCGCCCCCGCCCCCGCCCACTGCCGACGTCCCCGCCCCTTCCCCAAGGGTGGGGGCGCCCCCTGCCGGGGCCAAGGGGGCGCCCGGGCTTTCGCGCAGAGGGACTGACAGATCCACAAAGCGCTGTCTAGAGAGAAAAGCACGTTTTATTGAAGTCTGGGCGGCAGAGAGGAGTCTGTGGGGGCAGGGCTGGGGGAGAGGGCAGTCCAGGTGGCGGTGGGCGCGCAGGTGGTGGGTGGGAGGCATCAGGAGCCAGGGGAATCCTGTGGGGGTGAAAAAGGTGAGAGGCAAGAGAGCCCCCCAGCCATCCCATCCCACCCTTCCACCCCTTCTCCTCCCCCCATCCCCCAGCCTAGCCCGAGCTGCAGGACCTGGCTGGGTTCCATCGCGCCAGGTGTCTCTACCGCCTGCGGGTGGACAGACCTGCTGGGGAACACGGAGAGTTCGCGTGTCAGGAGGGGCACCCCAGCTCCTGCGGAGCGGGGAGCAGCAGGGCAACTCCCGGACCTCTGGTTTCGGATCAAGCCCCTCCTTCCACGCGCCTGTCCCGGCCAGGAAAGGGGCTCTTGGAACGCGCCCTCACCCCCAAACACCAGAAGTCTCCCCAGACTCACGGCGGATGGAGCTGCGGAAAGTTCCCTCCTCTTCATCAGGTTCCCCAGTCCTGGCAGAAGGAATTGGAGATGAAAAAGGAGAGAGGCAGCCGCCCCCATGAATCCCCCAGTGCAGCCCTAATTTCACAGACCCCTGTACTGAGGGCCAGAGATGGGCGAGGAGCAGGCTCGGGGTCCGCCAGAAAATCGGGCGCACCCAGGAGCGGTTTAAGCGTGTGGGAGGAGGTGCTCCAAGTGCCTCCCGGAGTACTGGGGAAGAGCCTGGAAGTTGGTGGGGGAGGGGTGGCCGAAGGACTTGAGGGCGGATGGCCTGGAGTCAGCGTAGGCTAGAAACCCAGAACGCTCATCTCCTAGTTGAGTGATCTCGGGCAAGTGACTTCACCTCCCTGCGCCTCGGTTTCCTCATCAGTAAAATGAGGTTAACAACAGCACCTACCTCATGCAAGGGGTGTGAGGAGTAAATAAGATAATACACAATAAACAGTATCTGGCACCTGGGACTAAATATTAGCTATTATTTAAAATCACATCTACAGTTGTTTTAACATGGAGAAGGTATTCATACATTGCTTTAAATTTTTATTTAAAGATGAATCAAAGAGCTAGGAACAGGACGCTGAGCTAAACTGGGCCGCCAAGTGCGGTGATCTCATTTCGCCGTGGCTCTTCCTCTCACAGCACTTATCACGCTTTGTGATTTTATATTTGTGGGGCTGTTGGAACCCACGGCCGCCGCCCCCACTGGGCTGGGAGCTCAGCCAGGCAGGGAGGGCGGTTTATCTATTCACCCCTTGGTCCCCAGGGCCTGGCTTGGGGCTTGGCACATAGTAGGTGCTTAATACATAGTTGCCGAAGGGTCTCTGGCTGCGGGTCCGGTGGACTCCCGCCTCACCCACAGCGCCCCTCTAGAGCGAAAGTAGGTGAGTGAGAGCCCGGAGGGGCCTCTTACCTCTGCTGCTGGTTGAATTTGCACCGGCACCTTCTGCCTGTGGGGGGGGGAGGGGGGG